CTGACACATTTGTTTGTATTTTATACCCTGGGAAAGAAAGCTAACCATATGGCCATCATTGGGAACAGATGGCATTTGCCCAATGTGAACGGCAGTGCCTATCACCGCAATTTAAAGCACTCCACTTCCCGCATCAACTGCCATCTCTCTCAACAGATACTTCTCCACTCACTATTGTTCCGGATGATAGAGGCATGACAGTGCGAGGCTGTAAAAGTTGACCTAGCCAATGTACTACACAGTCAAAATTCATGTCTTTCAATGCAACACACAATAGCACAGAAGAGAACATAGAAGACATATTTTAGCATTGTCTGTGACGGGGCAAACAGTTTTAGCCGTAACCAAGAGCATTACAATTGTTCAGAAGGTGCTCGTTAAGTGTGTCCTGTGGTATTTTGCAACTCTGAAAGCCACATCTGGTGATTTTTACAGACCCATCCATCCATCTTACAATGCGGAAACTAGAACGGTGTCAAACTAAAGCACAATATATTAAAAGAAAAGCTCACTTATGAAAGATTACCACTTCTCACTTTATACTCAAACTCTCGCTGTGGCACTTGAAAAAAGGAAGTACACTACCATTAAAAAAAAAAGATGATTTTATAATAATAAGTTAATGTTTAATGTTTATTGAGCACCAAATCAACATGTTAGAATGATTTCTGAAGAATCATGTGACATTAAAGACTGTAGTCCTTTCCACCAGGAATAAATAGCATTTTAAAATGTATTAAAATCAGTTATTTTAAATTGTAATAACATTTTACAAAACTGCAGTTTTTACTGTATTTTTGATCAAATAAATTCAGCTTTGGTTAACATAAGAGAGATCAAAAGCATAAAAAAAAAAAGATTGTGCAGAGACAGAGTAAAAGATACACTAATTGTACATCATCTTACATTACAGAACATACATTACAGAATGCTACAAGGTAGACAGCCAGATATATATCCCATATCTGGAACACAGCGTAAGTATACTATACAGTAACGTAAGGTTTATTCAACAAAGAAGGCAAATCTGAATGTGAATGGTAACATAGATCGTTGAACCTCTGTGTTATTTTAAAGCCTTTCTGTCACCAAGCACCACAACTCTGGCAAAAAAGTTTGTGTGGGTCATGACTAGAAGTTTGCTGTTGCTGTCTCTCTGGGTGGCAGGTGCTAGTCTGAGGAAGAACAGGAACATTAATCAGTCACTTTCTGCTGAAAAGCTCCATTTGAGAATGATTTATGACACTGCTGGCACAGACAGCCAAATGACAGGTGACAATAAAGGACACCCACACCTGTGTAAATCTTCTCCCTCTCTCTCACACACTCTGAGAGAGAGAATCGGGGGGAAGGAGTTGAGACCACATTCTGGTGCACGTCTCATTCATATGTAACCAGATGAATGTACTCCTCACAGAGCCACAGAAATATGTTTAAATAATGTTTACTTGAATGTTCAAATCGTGTTTAAATGGATATTCACTCAAAAATGAAAATTCTGCCATTTTATGCATGTCAGTCAAAATTATTTATTTAGTTTATTTTAGTTCAAGCTCTAAATACATGCACTCTAAAAAATGCTGGGTTGTTTCAACCCAACTTTGGGTCAAATATGGACTAACCCAACTGTAGGGTTAAATTTTTACATTAGATTTTTAAGTCCAAATTTGACCCAAAGTTGGTTTGAAATAACCCAGCATTTTTTAGTGTACTTGCTGTTTTTTTTTTTAATTCTTTGTGAAATTTACTCTTAATTTAGACAATTGTTTCTACACCAATTGTTGATGCACTGTAAAAAAAAAATAATAATAATTTTTCAAACTTCTAACTAAAAAAAGTTGGGTTAGTCCAAATTTGACCCAAAGTTGGGTTGAAATAACCCAGCATTTTTTAGAGTGTAGAGAGAGAGAGAGAGAGAGAGAGAGAGAGAGAGAGAGAGAGAGAGAGAGAGAGCAATAAGCAATAAACAAATGATTTTAAATAAAAATAAATAATAAAAATACTCCATATGCACTATAGTCCACAGCATATGCTTTATTTGAGGAAAATGTAAGTCATTAATCACTGATGTTGAATTCAAGAGCCACAGTCAGGGGGTAAAGTTTCTTAGTAAGCAATGACATAAATTCCTGTTTGTTCATCAAAGTCATATGATTTCAAAAAGTTTCAGAAGATAGACATATTTGCAACTTGTATGATTAATTTATAGCATTTAGATCTGTAAATATACACACTACTTTTTTTAATAAGTATCTTATACTTACGCAGTCTGCATAGCTTTGATCAAAAATAAAAAAAATACTGGGAAATATTATTACAATTTAGCTGAATTGGACAAACTATTCCTCTCATAACCTATAACCTCACACCATTAAAACAACTACTGAAAAAAGAGAAGTTGGAGAGATTAATATGTTAAGACCTCAGAGCCCTCACCCTATTGAATAGATTGCATAGTTTCTGCATATAGAAGACCTACATACATCCTCAGTCTCCAGAGAGCATCTCTAGTGTCTAACATTCAGTACATGACCTATTACTGATTTTTTCCCCATACATTAGACCTTGCGTTACAACTATTTCCTCTCTCCCTTGTTTCTACCATTTTTTTTCTTTTTTAATTCACCTCTGTCTGAACAGGTTTTCCATTAAATGTACTCAGTCATGGTCATTCATAGATAATCCACATGTTATTGCACAAACAAACAGCTATCTGAATAAGGACATGAAAGACTTCTCTTGTTTTTATATGAAGCAAATTCTAATTAGCGACCAACCCTTAGCTACGTCAACTGGACCTAAAAATAGATTAAGTGACATGTAACCTAATGACTAATAAAGGTGTATGGACCCAATTTGCACAAACAAAGTCTACTGTACGACTCTCTTAAGTTTCCAAAGCACCTTCTAGCTTCACCTTCTGTCCTTCAGCCCTCTTCTGAACCTCTGCTCGGCCTCGAGGGCAGGTGCTCCATCATTGAGATACTGAACATAGAAAGATGCTCTCAAAGGTTCCACCCCACTGAGAAGGAAACACTAACATCTGGATGCTCTCCAAGTTGGACTGGGCAGGTGATTTACCAGGTACGCAGAAATAGGTCCATGTTCTACTGACCTGCTGCACTTTCATGTAGAAACTACACAATCTGGAACATGGGTAGGCACTGATTCCCAGATGAGACAAATCCCTATCAAAAGTTCTCCAATTCAATCCAATTACCTTTTTTATTCATACAAAAATATTTGGTAACAGCTTTTTGACACTAGATTTTAAGCAGTGTCAGAAACAGTACTGCATTATGCATGCTATAATTTAATTAAAACTAAACTAAACTTAAAAAATTTATTATTATTCTTTGGTTAGTATGCCTATTTGCAGTAATTATGCTTAATATATAATTTTTATGACCTACATGAAATAATTGTACTTTTAAAAATAGACTTGTCATATCACAGAACCATTCACTGAAATAAAATAAAAAGATACTGTTTACTTTATTTAAACAATTCATTTTGATTTAACACCATTGTATCAGGTTTCTCATTCAAACATGACTGCATCATGTTAAACTGACTTGAAATGGTTACTTTTTGGTTTAACTCAAGTGTTTTCATTTTGAAAGAACATGTTTCAATCGAGTAGCTCAAAATAAGTTTTACACTTCCCATCCTGCTTTACACAGGGCTGGATATAGGGAGAGAAAATTTTGAAATAAAGTGAGAAAACAGAGACTTGTTAATGTCTAATATTCTATTATGTTAGCATTTTAAAAGACTTTCTGTTATGTTGGTGTTTTTGGAGTGTGGAGCGTTTGTATGGGTTGAGGAAAGCAACTCCAGTGGGAGTGCTAGGGATGTACATAGTACCAGCCTTAAACTGCCAACATCATGTGTGTAAAGAAAAGTTATATTTTACTTGCTAATATGTTATTATAACACATTGGCTGAACTTGCATGGACAGTGGTTCCACATGAGGGAAACATGTTATCTCTACTCAAATATTTATTGTAGAATGAACTCAGGCAAACTGAGTAAACTCAACTAAAATTAGACATGGAACCACTGTCCATGATTGAATCATGTTCAGCCAAAGAGTTATTTTTTAGTGTATTTATTTATTTATAGCATACTGCAAAAAAGCTAAATGTCATTAAAACGAAAATCTTAAAAGAAATGTTGACCAGGCATAGGACATAAATATAGATACACTCTTCCACTCTTTCCTGAAAAAGAAACCAACTACGATTATTGTTTAACAATTGATATTTCATCTGTTGACTAAAATCTTGTTTTACTCAACATTTCAGAAAGAATCAGTGATTGAAACTGATTTTCTTTTGTCAAGCTGTCAAACTAACACTGAACTCACGGATCATTTGGAGCAAATTGATCAAACTCTGGCTGTGGTTTGAGAGATTCTTTTAAACCGGCATACTTGTATCACACTTAAACTACAGCTCAATCACACAAGATCCCTCAGTAACCTCAAAATTATTTTCTGAAACAGTTTGACACATGTCAGATTGTGATTTCAGTTCACTCAGTTCTAAAAACGCAGACACTTCATTTTCTGCGCACAGTGAGCTCAGATACGCTTTCCTTTTTTTCTCTCTCTCAACACTATGATGGAGCTGTGCTTCTTTAGCAAGCTCTCAGTGGAAAGGCACTTTCTTCACCAAACTTTGAGAAAAAGGGATGCTGCATGCTGGGAATTAAAATATTGAAGGAAACCAAGAACTCACATAGAGATGGCAACATCTATACGTAAGAATTCACAAACACGGGTCAGATGAGGCATATGCAGCCAAACCAAAATGCCTTTAGAAGCTGACACACACAGACAAGCGTGAACATTCAAACGGTCACAGGATCCCTCTATCCTCTCTACATATTCACATTCATTACGGAGGTACACGGTGGGACATGACAGGCAGCACTTCAACAGTGTGTAAGCGAAAGGAGGGGGCGACTGTATGCGAACGAGAGCAGCAGCCATTACCTGTTAGCGAGCAGCGTCGTGAAGGTCACCTGACTCATGCTCTGATAGGCTGGCAGCAGTTGGGCCCAATCCCACTCCCTCTCACCCATAGCAGCCTGTTGATAAATGAGCAGTGAGTATTGTTCGTTATTAATCAGAGTTAATATGATCAGTAAATTACTGCTCCAGCTGGGCTGGGCTAACCAAGGAGGAGGGGGTCCCGAACAAGTCTGCACAAGAAGGTTTTTATTCCAATAAGACAGGAATTAATTCATAAATCCATTTGGGGAGGGATGTACCATCATTTATAAAAAGATAAATCAATTTCGCAAGAGGAGTCGCTATTCTTCTCGCGAGCCGCCCAAGGTTTCCCTCACCCACGAGTGGACCGTCCCTTTGTTGGGGAGCCAAATGAAATTCGATTGCTTTGATAGCCAGAACGTCACTCTTAACTTGAAGCTGAGTTTTTTTTTTATTGACAAAAGGACAGAAGCGTGCCAACCCCTCCTATTCTCCGACCGGCTGATTGATGGATCGGCATTCGTTTTTTTCTGCCTCCATTTGATTTGACAAACAGCGCAGCCACCTGAAGGCGAGGAGGCTTTTTAATCATCCCCTTAATAAGGTGTTTTATGCAAAGCAATGCGAGCGCGAGCGATAAGGAGAAAACAAAAGGGATTAAGAGCACAGCAGCTAGCGCCTAACGACGGGAAAAGAACTTGCATTTTAACCGACGCAAAACTCTGAGCCAAATAAGATAATGAAAGGAAAAGTTCCCCTTAAAAAAGAAGGTTGCAGACTTTCTGGCTTCAAAGGCGTAGCAAAAAGTCTCCTGACATGAGCAGAGAAAACTTTATCCTACCTTTAAGAGAAAGCCAAAAGAGGACCATGGCTCTTGTAATTAAACCTTCAACCTACACCGTCTTCAACACGCAAGGGATGCTTTTTTTCCACCCTTTGTTCAAAGCCACATCACACTCGAAGAGTTCACCTTTCAAGTGTTTTCAAATTCTCTGCTCTTTTGGTTAACCTTTTTTAATGTTTTGCTTTGTGTCTTCCCTTCACACTAAAATATAGCTTAGGGACAGAGCGACCTATGGAGAATTGTCGAGTTCATCCTAGAGAAGCAGTTTAAAGTCTCTCAGTCTCTCTCTTATATTCACCTTGCCTGGTGGCCTTGACGGAAAGTTACACACGCTCGAGCGTGAAAGAGTAGAGAAGTAGTTCACGGCTGCTTTAAATAAAAGTTATGTGAACGACAAGTATTTGGGAGCACTCGTGGCACTTCAAGTTGAAGGCAGAGAAAATAACAAAGGACTAACCTGATCGAACTTGTTACGGCCGATAGAATTGCACTCTGTGAGGGGGTTGAACTGGGTTTTACACTGGTTTTGGCTGCTCGCTTCAGAAGAGAATATGACAGGTCCCAATGGAGAGTCCAGAAGTGGATGTGTCTCTGCATGCGGCGTTAAGACGGACCTCAGTAAACCCTACACACACAAAAACACAACACAAGGCTCATAAACATCCATTCCAGTGTAGAAAAATGAACAGGAACCTGGACACGTCTTATTATTAGACTGCATTAAGCAAAACTAAAACACTATTAAAGTGGTCAAATTAATAGTGAGTCTCTACAGACTTCTTAAACACACCACTGGACAAATTAGTACATTTCAACAATTATTACATACCCAATTTTGGACATAATGGCCATTTCTTTTCTCTCTATTCCCCAAGTAATTGGCCGACAATGGTAGAAATTAATCAGTCTATCTAGGAATAGGATTTGAAAACAGGACATTGGAAGAGGACAAAGATATGTATAGATATGACACAAAGAATTGTCCTCAAGATTAGACTTAAGTGAGAGTTGCACTAATTTCCCAAGATGTGTTCTTATTGTTAAGTAGAGCAAGGGGCAAAAAAAGTGTAGTGTGTGGAGAAAGACTTTGACTAATTTGTGAACCGTTCCCTTGAATTTGTATTATCTCTGTTGTTTAAGATGTTGCTTTTTCAATCAGGTCAAGGCTGTCACGAGAGGCCTCGCAGCAGCGTCTGGATGCAGTTGTGTCTCCGTGCAGCAGCTCTGCACAGGCGTTCCCCTCAGCTTCAGGTCACACTGTCTGCCTCAGGCTAACAGCCACCTAATTGCTTGGTGAAAAACAGCAATTCGCTACCTCATTGAGCTGGATGCTGTGATGGATTTGCCGGAGGTGCTGGCTGCCACCTGCTCTATGGCACAGCTCCAGCAGCAACTGCCTTATTTTATGCTCAGTCAGTTCCGCGGGCCCACCTCTATCCTGCGCCGGGCCGCTTTCCACATGCTCAAACACACTAATGGAGGAACACATAAAAGAGAGGGGGGTTAACATGAAATAAATGCAAAATAGTTATCATATTACTCAATTTAAATACTTCTAAAGGCAGTTTTACATGCTAACTGCGAGTTCCCAGTTCATTATATTGGGCGGTTTTAATTAATATATATATATATATATATATATAGTATTTGGAGAGATATTAAGCACAATTATTTGACTCCACAGAAAGGCATCATTTTTGTTTATGTTAAGGTTTATACATCTAATACTACTCTGGTGGTGGGTAGAATAAAGATACCATGTCACTTAAACAATATTTCACAAAATATATAGCTACCTTAATGTTTTATGCTGACTGCTAGCAACAAAAAGCATGCAAGATTATGAATGAATTAATTAATGTTTTATTTCTTCACGGATATCATAAGTCTTTAGCAAATCAAAAGTGCTTTTATTCACAACCCAACAATTGACATTTACTGTAGCTTTTGTGACCTTTGGGGATGTGATCAAATATCAAAATAACAGTAGCTGTTGCCAATTTTCGACAACATTGAGCTGAAGCAGGAATTGTTGTGTTTGCTCTTACACATTTCGCACAAAAATGTGCACGTGCGCAAAAATGCCTGCATGTTGCCAGTTGTGGCAAAACAGCTTAGTAACATGATTTGCTCCTTCAAAATGAAGAAAGAAAAAAACGTAGTAAAGAGAGTGAGAGGAAGGACAGATCAACAGTTAAGAGACACAGTGCCTCTCGCCGTAACCTTAAGGTACCCTCAACGCACTCATTCCCGTGCCCTTCCTCTCTATCCAGCATGCCTCATCACCCTCACCACACTTCCCATCTGATACACACCCCCCACCGTCATTGTTTCCCCCATTCCTTCTTCCTTCCTTTTTTATTTTTCAATCACAAAGTGACAAGGAAAGTGTCGCCTGTCAGGCAAGCCTTTAGCTTCAATGACACCGAGAAAAGCGGCGAGGCCCTGGGAAGCCCAGTCGGTGAGCGGGGTGTCAGCACCTGTGCCTGTATCCTTCCCTGTCCATCAGTGTGCAGGTGAAGCAAATGATTGGATCCAGTCAGCGGCTTGATTAATGAGAGGCCCGTCGGATCCGGGACAAGCTATCAATCACGTCATTAGGACCAATGTGCCCCGAAAGAAGCAGAACACCCCCTCCGCCCACGGAATCCACTGCATTCATCTTCATCTGTGCATGCATGCCGTCAAAGCCTGCCAGGGTCACCGTGATGGAGAACAATCATCTTCTCCTCTACAAATTACTTTGCAAAGACAAGAGATGAGGGAGGTGTGTGTGTGTATGCATTTGTGTGTGTGTTGACAAGCCGGGGTGGGGGGGTGTTTTTCAGAGAACCCGCTTTCCGCCGACACACTGTACGTTGATTGTTTACACCGGAGGCAGTGCCTGAAAGTGAAGGTTATTTTAATGAATAGTAATGGTTCCACTGACTGTCTAAGACAGGCGATACATAATCACTCTTCCTTTTTGCTATCTCCTTTTTTTTTTTTTGCCCTCACTCTTTTTTTGTTTTTCCTGTCACTGGGAGCAGCGTTTCTCGGAACACTAAAAGTTTTATTTATTTTTTTCCCCAGCTCTGTTATGATGCTAAATCTTTTTCAATAAGGGTAATTAACTCTGAGCTTTTGTTCTGGACATGACTTAGACTATACGGTAAAAGCTGTTTTTTTGGCAACAATGAAAAATAGCATTAAGTACAGGTCACTTTTCAAAAGTGCTCAAAAATCAATCGTTTGAAGAAATTATTAGTACAGGATCATTACTTAAGGCAGGGGTTTTTAAACTGGGGTTTGGAGAAAAGTTCAGAGAAAAAGTAGTGTTAAAAAAAAGAAATACTGAATCACAGGTTTATACATAAAAAAGTACAGTCAACTTTATAATATCCATGGCATATGGCATTACAAAAAAAAAAAAACCCTGAATTAAAGTCCACATTATCTGCCATAAGATAATGACTTATACACTCATCATTATCAGTAAGCCTCATATTATACTGCTAAGATGATTTAATATTGCTAAGATGATTTAAAGTACATGAATCAAGGATTGCAACACGTTCTTCACTGGTTCAAGTCAGATTTCTGCACTCAAATCCTATGGGTGACATCAAACCCATTTTGATGTACACATATCAAAAGGCTTGAAACGACTAGCTACAGGCTAGGGGGAAGAAAAAGAACACACAGAGAGAAAACAACACATAATTATTTTGCCAAAAGATAAAGGGTGAAGTTAATTTCAAAATATGAATGAATTGCAAGATTGAAGTCTTTAAATGACATCAAAATATCAACTGGCAGACAATGTAGACATTAATAGATTAGTTAAATGGTTAAACGCTTTAAAATGTCTTTCATATACTGAATAAACTTAATGATGAATTTGCTATTATGGGCTTAAATTGGGAAAATATTCCATCAGGCTTCTTTCGAAATCTCACCTATCACAGCAAAGCTTTCGTGCCTTCTGCAGCTGCATGGTGGTCCATTTGGGCCTCTTCTCTTCCAGGCCCTTGAGCACCTTATGGACCAGAGGTTTGGGAACACCCTTCTGCTGGCCCAGACTGACCTGCAGACATTCCGATAGCAGACTCAGCCTATCCTTGGCCCCTCTCTCCAGGGGCTGTCCAGACAAGAGCTCCAGGGCGTCCCCATTTTCTAGATCCTGACAGAGGCTGACCAATATGACCCAGAGGAGCAGGCCGGTAGACCTCAGCTGTCTGGCATGCTGGGAAAGCCTCTTCTCTGCCACAGTGAACAGGAAGCGTACAGGCAGTGGAAGGGAGGCTATGGTTGACGGAAGGTTGGTGAAGATGAAAGAGAGGGCTTGGATAGCTAGATTCATGTTGTCTGATAAGAAGAGAAAGAAGCAATGAGGGTTGGCTAGATTTTTTTTTTTTTTCTTAAATAAGACTGCACAGTTTCCAACAGTTGTTTTATGCAGTTAAAAAATGGTACAAATGTTTTATAAATAAATGAATATTACTGTTAATAAAGCTTTACTTACTCTTGCTGGTTTCATTAAACTTGGGATCTTGTGGAATGTAGTTCCACTCTTTTGGAATTTTGCTTAGGACATTTTCTGGTAAGTGTTGTCCAACCATGGGTCCAGTCTGATCTTTATATGCCTGCATCATGCTGACCAGGTGGATCAAAAGTTTGGTAGTGGATTCACAAACAATGGACCTGATGTATTTAAACAAGACCGGCTCCTCTTTACTGGAGTCTGGAAAAAAGAGAATAGTCTAAATTACCGGAATTTAATAATTATATCAAACTTATTTTGTAAATTCATTAGATACTGTGTAAAAATCTTTAAGATTATGACATATTTGGTCACAGGACATTAGCTCAAAGAAGAAGAGAGACAGAACTCATAATTTCTTCATCTATCTGCAATTTTTCTTTCCCAACAATAGTGTATTTATTTATTTAAGCTAATTGATTTCAGTTCAACTTTTTGTTATATGACTGTTACATTAAAACGTATCAAATCTACATGATTTTTGCAACAATTTAAATGACTTTTATGTATAGATTGTATCGTTTTACTCTTGTCCCAGACACAGATATGGTGTAACCAAAGAGTCATATAAACATAACTCAATTTGTGTAAAAATGATTTATATACTTTTTTCATCAGTATTATATCTCATTGCGTTATCATTATGTCATGGAAATGACTTAAGTTCCAGGGAAACAAGGGAAAGCAAAATGCCTGAATATTCCTGTGATGCATATATTTCTATTTTTGGACATTGTTAGCAAACAATTAAATAAAATAATGCATTTTAAAAGTGTGTTTAAAGGGAGTTACATTCCTAAACATCCGCAGTGCCAAAAAGTACCAGTAGAACAAACAAATAACAAATTCGAATACCGATCGTATTCCTGACCAGCCCAATTAGCTCTGCTAAATGGCACAATCAAGGTGCTAAGCAAGCTTTATAAGATTATCTTTAGGGAAGAATGGACATGGTCAATTAAGCCGAAAACACAACACCTTACATCAGAATAACAGCATACAACACACACTCTCCTGCTCCCTCCTCTGTCATTTGTCTAATTTGTGCAACTATAATTACCTCTCTCACATGTAATAAAACACAAAAACATGACATGAGAGCTTCAGCTTGGAATTAAACCCCCTGAATCAAAGCCGAATCAAAAGGTGTCAGGTCATAATTGCAGTTTCTATGTCAGTATGCAAAATCAATACGGTAACCATTAACACAACGAAAAATGTTCATGCTGTGGCTTTTACAGAGAGGGAAAAGGAGAAGGCAGAAATGTAAATAAATAAGCAATCAAAGAGACAGCTGAAGGTTTAATTATGGCTTTGATTTGATGATGGGCTTCCAGCTGGTCAGATTTGATATTGAGGCAATTAGGGGACACAGTAGGGGCACATGGTGATAGCGGTTTCCAACTGGACTGTAACTGAATGGCCACATCGGACTAAAATTGTGTCCTTTTGAAGTCTAAACAAATGTAGGACAGAGCATGGAAAAATCCTTGCATGGCTGCACCTGCTAAGTTGTAAAAGTGCTCCCAAAGGTGTCTCTGGTCCAGGTAGCCCTCTAGCACCCGAGTTAAAGCCCTGGGGAGGGAGTTGAGGGAGGACAGGATGGAAAAAACAGCTTCCAAAAACTCTGCAGCTGCTGTGTGAGCATCAGGGGACACCTCTGTTCCTCCGTCCACACAGAGACCTGAAAGTACATCATCATCGTTATTTTAAGTGATATCAAAAATAATAATAACCACAATGCTACTAATGGCCTAAGAGGGCTTAACAATATGATTGGTATATAAAGTACATATCTAAACAAAACAAACAAAATAAAACAAAAGTTTGAGCTTATTACATATTGCACGACATCTGAGCCTAGCACAGGAAATGTATGTTTTCTAAATCAATACATTGTGAAAGGTCTATTTTGAACAAAAAAAGCCAATTGACTGTCTGGACAAACACATGAAAGATGAGACCGCAGCAACAAGATGTGACTGAATGCCCTTGTCCAAATGTTGTCAGTAATGTGGGGTTGTAGAGAACGCAGGATGGTTGTGCCTTTGGTTCAGCCCCTGTCAGTCTCGCTTCCTAGAGATGACAGGCGTTTGAATAGGCGATTGAATGCAACGCGGCATTCAATGAGCATATTTGATAGAAAGCAGCCTGCTGTTTGCACTTTTTTGACAAATGTTGGACTGTTTTGAAATGACAGGCCTAAATTACCTGCTGTAGTAGAGCGTGCGGTTAGCTAACACTGCTTTGCTTAACAGGGATCCTGAATTCTACTGCTGCTGAAGGACTGATGGGAATCTACTCTGCTTTCCTTTGGGTACATGTGTGAGAACACTGGTATAGATGCCATTTCACTTACTTTGTGAGATTGTTTGGTGTCTTGTTCTGTATTTCACTGTAATTATCAAATCGCTAGAGACAGGTTTACATCAGAGCGGTTTCTTTTTTTTCATCTGGAATGAATTTGATTGTGAAAAATCGATTCTATATGACAGGTGGTTGGAGGAGAGGATTAAGGGGAAAATTAAAGTTTTGAAGACTTTTTGTTTGTTTGTTTTGTTTTGTTTTGAATTAAAGTGCATTTTTAATTGTTCACAGAGCAAAAACATTTATTTTTAGCAATAGAGTAAGAATATGTTCCATTCTCCACCATTTCCATAGGGGTTGTGTAAAACCATACATTTTCAGTGTAAGAGTTTACTTTTTTTTTTTTGTTTTGTCAGCTTACAACAAAAACATCAAACTTTTTTGGTTTCAAACACTTAAATTAAATATGGTTTTAAGGAACAGTCAAAAGACTATAATATGCGTAATACCAAAACCTTTCCTCCTTCTAATTCAAAAAGTATTATCTGTTTTTTTCACATACGCTATAAAATTGATCACACCATGAGATAAAGTACAATTATTTAAAATATATATACATTAAAATACAAAAATCACTCTCAATATTCAGAAAAAACTCCTTACATTCTCTAATAAATATTAAGACATTAATATTTTTCGGTTACAATTCATATTAATGTATAAGGGACAGTTCATTTTTAACAAGTACAAATTAATTACATTTGTAGTAAGAATAATTTAAAAAGAACAAATAATATTCTATTAATTCTCATAATGAACATCACATAAGATCACAAAAGCTTTGTGTGCCTAGTAATAATTCTATTTAAAATAATTACATCATAAAAAAATGTTACAATATTAACTTTTAAATAGCCTTAAATGCTATTTCAAACAATTAAATGTAAAATGGATTCATTTCATGGGAATGCAGGTTCCAGTATGGTTTATCATGTCACAAATTCATTATTTGATTCCCTGTTTCCAATACATTAGAAGACAAAAAGGCATAAAAATAACTACAAACTTTTGCAACAAAATGGTGGACTTACATAAATAGCCACAAGGGGCAGTAAAGGGCCAGACAGGTTAATGACCTGCCTCTTTACAATCATCCATTTAAGAGCCACCGGATGAACCGTGATAAATGAACTGCTGGTCTTCCTCAAGGGAAGGGATTCCACAAGCCAATTCTATCCTCCGCTAACAAACCTTCGCAACCTTGACGTGTTGCCAACATACACACCTGTTGATTTTCTACCGGGCCTCACAGATGAGTTTCCACTGGAGGCCCTTAATTGGAACAAGACATCGCTATCAGTTCCTCAAAGAATTCCACGAACAAGCTCCTATTTAGAGCACAGCTTAGCGTTAAATGCTCCCAAACTGTGCTGAGAGACAGCGACTCGAGCGAGGAACTTTAAAAGAGCTTTCTCTAACCGGCAGACAACCAAGCCACCGCGTTTCTTCTTAATTAGCCAGGCTGCGGCCAGGCAGTGTTGATTTACGGCGACGTGATTCCCACACCAAAGCTCTCAGCCGAGCTTGGTTATTAATGAGCTCCGCCATAATGTGAATTAATGTGCAAGCACAAAACAGCCTTTAAAGGTTAGACTTTTCAGAGTGGAAGGAAGAAAGAGGAAAATCTTTAAAGGTCATTCACTTTGCTCTCACATGAGTGTTTATTACTGAGCTCTATTGATTCAGAAATGATGAGGAGGGTGATGAGTGCGATGATGAGCGAGTAAAACAGCATTCTCACAACAGTCCGGATGAATCTCTGATGCGCCTGAGGACGAAAGATGTCAAATCTAGGCGGATCTGTCTTACTTCGCAAAATCAGAAGTATCAAATGTGTCTGATTGGGATGAGCCTCTGAAGACCTCAGCTAGCATTTAACTTGTTAGCAAACTCAACAGAGTGTAATTTCACATTTTAGACTAGCAATTAGTCATTTCTATGGCGTATTTTGCGAGAATGAAAGGACTCGTTCCTCTGCGCAGGTGTTGGGCAACTCGAGTGATGTTGTCGTCTTGTGATCAGTTCACAAGTGCACACAACAGCCTATTGAGCATAAGAGGAGACGTGCAAAAAGAAGACCCATTAAAAACAGGTGCAGGCTATTAAGAGCAGCAAGGTCACTGGGCCATCCTTACAGCTAATCAGTCTTTCCACCAATAAATTGTGCTAAATTAATTTGTGGAAACCAATGAAAGCGCTGACGTGCTTCAAACAGTGTTTCCTCATATTTTCTCATTGCAGGCCTCTCTTCTGTTCTGTAAATGACATCAGATTCAAACACGTGTGGAGATGAAGCAACATTTTGGCAAGCCAACTAAACTATATTTTTTTGATATTACGTCAATTTGCAGCATGCTTCAATAGAGCAATAGAAAAAAAAAAGGCATCATCTGGAATCTTTGGTAAGAGTACATGTACAGTCCAAGAAGTGTGTCAGGGCTTTAAGAGTCTTACATGAGTATGAGATGATGATCTGTAGCAGGAAGCAGTCTTTGTGAAGGATGGTTTGCAGAAGTACAGCTGGATTATAACAGGGTTCAGACACCAGTAGCTCAAACAGACATAAAGAAGATCCCTCACAAGCTGGAAAATCCCTTAAAAAACATAAATAAATAAATTAGGGTCATGTCAATGTTCAAATGTTAAAAATTAGTCTGAATTTTTTTTTTTTTTCCAAAGAACCATCTTGTTTACCAAGGTTGCATTTATTTGATCCAAAAAAATATATAATACAGTACTACTGTGAAATATTATTACAATTTGAAATAATTATTTTCTATTTTAACAAGTTTTAAAATGTACTTTATTTCTGTAATGGCATCACATGATCTTTCAGAAAGAATTCTAATATGCTGATTTGTGGATAAAGTCTAAAGCCACATTACAGTTACAGTTGCTGTGGAAAGAATAGGTAAGGTAAAAAATGTTAGGAATCCAAGGACTTCTCTTCATTCAAATGAACACATTAGAACAACAGTTCTATCACAAAGAACCCAATGTCATGTGATCCTTATTGTGCTCAACCAGATTAAACAGCACTCACACACAAAAAACCATAGACCTTAGTCAGTGTAGTGCCATGTTTAATTTTTGACAGGAATGAAAACAAGACCGTGAGGGATGAAAGTACAGTGTTCAATGGATTGTATTGTTTAACAATATGCCAGTTGTTTAGACGACAAAACATCTTCCATAAAAAAAAAAATCAGTAGAAAAAAAATCCAAATAAAAAGTTGTTAGTTTTAAAACATACACGTGATCATATGATCGATGACCTTTATACAGTTGTAACAGTCAGTTTCTTACAGCCTCATTTTCAACCGTGTAAAATTCAATATGGCTTCTACCCTGATTAAAGGGGTGGTTGATTGCGATTTCACTTTTTTAACGTTAGTTAGTGTGTAATGTTGTTGTTTGAGCATAAACAATATCTGCAAAGTTACGACGCTGAAAGTTCAAATTACTGCATACCTTAACTAAAGCAACACTAGATAAAAAAAACTGCTGTTTGGTAAAAAAATAAAAAATAAATAAAATAATAATAATAATTAAAAAAAATCAATTACTACTACTACTGCTAATAATAATAATAATAATGATAAATAATTTTTGGTAAAAGCAGAGAGACTGTGGAGTAATGAATTTTAAATATTATATTATATTTTATTAGTGCTGTCAAGCGATTAATCGCATCCAAAATAAAAGTTTTTGTTTGCATAATATATGTATGCGTGCTGTGTATATTTATTATGTATATATAAATACACACACATGCATGTATATATTTCAGAAAAATATGTTTATATATTAAATATATTTATTTATCATATAAATTATATGAATATATAGACATAAATATATGTAAATATTTTCAAAATATATACTGTATGTGTGTGTATTTATATATACATAATAAATAGAACACTCAAATATATTATGCAAACAAAAACTTTTATTTTGTATGTGATTAATCGTGATTAATCTTTTGACAGTATTATATTATATATAATATATATATTAAAGTGTGGTCACATTAGTGAATTTTCGATGAAATTCTGTGGCCAAAAAAGCAGTTCTTTGTCCATTATCAGTGGAAGCAATGTATGAAATACAGCTCATACAGAGGTCACTTTCAAAACAAGCAGTTTTCTGTTGGTCATCACGACAAATATGGTGACCAATAAAAATATAGATAAACCCGATGTGAAATCCATCTAAGGAGAAATACTTCTCCTGCATGTGAATTTCCTGATTGTGTGGATTACTATTGTATAAATGGATTCTGTCAGCGATAACCTTCAGAACAACAACAAATGTAGTCGCACCTTAATCAGCCAACATAATAAATGTCTAAATAAATTTAACAAAAAAGTCAATAGTTCATACAGTTAGCAATAGTGAATTGTTTTGGTAGTCTTTTATGCAGATTCTTCTAAAAGTGTCAGATAAACATGCCTCATGAATAAATTAATTAATTAATTTTCAATTGCCCACTGACATCCCAATGGACTGTCATGCAAAAAAAAAAAATAGCACTAATTATCATTATTTATTTCTGAGCTTGGGTGAAAAGCAAACGTGAAATTCATAAAGACACAAAAAATGAGGCAGGGTGAGTTCTGCTACATAACAGGGGAACATTAGGCTTTAGTTAAGCAACAGCTTTGTCATGTCAAAGGGCCAGTAATCCATCCGATATCCCACTTTAACGGTCCTGATAAATCTGTAAGCTACACCATGAGGTCAGGTTTCACTGTATCTTGATCTTACACTCGTGTAACTAAAAAAAAAAGTCTCCTTCCTGTGCATAATGCTCCCTGATTTATTGATATTTCTTGTCTCTTTTATTACTTTTTTATTTAATAATCCAAACTGTCAGCTGGTTGGAGTGTTTGAGTGAGGAGAAGAGTTTGATTTTGGTGTCTGGCCTCTTAGCTCTGGTGGGGCCCTCACCGTGAGACCCTCAGGGAGTCTTGAACACAGCGAGGTTAAATAAATAAATAAAAATGTAGCAGGCAATAAAAATGCACTAATTTAAATCCCTGCGACTTCATGGAAGCGGAGCCGGTGGGGCTGACGAGCGGTGATTTGTGTAAGCGGGACACACGATGATATCCCGCTGGAGTGGGAGTCTGGAGCTGTGCTGGGGGGCTTGAGGAGGGTGATGTGAGATGTGCCTGACATTCTGCCTGGCTTCACAGTCCTCCTACAGGCTCCGTTTCAGCCTTTCACACCCGGACTGAAGACCTGCAGCGCATGTCAGCATAAACAGCATGACTAACTATGGCATCTGCATCTGGCCTGCATTAGGGCCGTGAGTCTGGGGGTCTGGTCGCTGCAGTAATGCATTAACTGTGTTTGTGCGCATCTAACACATGAACGAAAACTGAAAGGCCGTGCTAGCCTCATTTGGGTGAGCTGCAACAACTCACTATATTGTGTGAGTTATGTGTTTTACTTGTAATAAAACTTAAAAATGGGCTTGGTAAGTCTTACGCAGACTTGGTAATGTGTTACAAGTATTTTTTTTATATAAGGTTACATTATTATGTAAACAGATTGGAACACTTTTTGAAGGTGACATTACATTTTATATAAAAAAGCAATAGTAGTGTTATTTTTTTGTATTCTTCTCAATATTATTACTATTTATTTAATTTGTCTACTGTCAAACATAAAACAAAAACTCTCACAAAAGTACACAAAGTAATTAACATGTCAATTTCAGTGAATGTGTCAATTTCAATTAAATGTACTTTTAAAAGTAACATTTTCCAAAAAAAATGCTTTGTGCTATAATTTATTTATTTTGAGGTTTATTAATTGCATACTATTTAGACAACTAAAGTTCTCTAAGACGCTTTATTAATTTATGAACGTAACTGGATAATTATTCAGAAATGACTATGGTACCTATTATCTTAAAGTTTCAAAAAAGACATATGTGTCCAGCTCAGTAGTTGTTATATTTAAATATATTTGATTGAAATCATCATTACCGGAAAAGTACACTTAGAAATGACAGAAGAACCACACAGTATGTTCATATTAGGGGTGTAACGGTTCACAAAATTCATGGTACGGTTCGATACGACACAGTGGTGTCACGGTTCGGTACATTTTCGATACGGGGGAGAAGGTGGGGGGAGGGTTAATTGCTTACGTCACAATGTTGGAAATATTTCTGTTTTAAACCATGAAGGCAAGCCAATGGATATCACTCAAGCAACGTGCAAGCTTTGCGCAAGAGTTATGACAGTGAACGTCTTAATCTCAGTCAATTCACTATGCAGAAAGTGAAAGTAAAAACAGAATGACGGAGTAATGACAGAGCTTTCGGCAACTGACGCTGCATATTCTCTGAGACAACTAGAGATGAATCTACTTCAACATATGCTGATAACGGTATATAGCTAACTGTTTTCATTTATTCCCTTAATATTTCTCTTGTGGTCCATACATAGTGAAAAAAAATGAGAAGAAACTTATTTCGTGTTTAACATTTTGTTTTTTAAAGTCGGTGCTTGAAATAGGCTAAAGCTTTTATTTCATTGATTTTTATTGATTATTTTAATTATAGGCCTATAATTCATTGTATAATAGACCTGTTTTAAAAGACCTTTTTTTTAAACATTTTAATTGAGGAGTAAATAGCCTAATCTTTTGTTATCCTCGCAGCGCATCAGTTATGCTGTAATTATTGCGGGGCAAATTAATTGTAATTTTAATTTAATAATAAGTAACTTCATAATAATAATAGGCCAAATAAAAATACGAATGTAACAGGCCTACAATAATTGGACATTCCAAATCATCTCCAAATGTTTTTGACAATATCTCTGGCTATCGTCGATACAAGATTGTCTTTTGACGCACCCCAGCAAGGGGAGGTTATTGCGGGTCCGCTGGGCAGACAGCACGTTACCCGTTACGTCGTTTGGGCTGCCTTGTTGAATGCAGTGGCACTGAGAACATTATATTTCACACATTTTAAGCTCTTTTATTTTCCAAATGTAATAGGATTATTCCAACATATCGTTTGGTTTGTAATGCGTACCGAACCGAAAGCCTCGTACCGAACGATTCAATACGAATACGTGTACCGTTACACCCCTAGTTCATATGCAATATTGTCAGTTAAAATTTTGTTTTGAAAAAAAAAAAATAATACTTTCATTTAGCAAGGATAACTAAAATGTATTAAAAGTGAAATTAAGGACTTTTACATTGTTATAAAAATGTATAGATAGATAGACAGATAGAAACATTTATAATAAGAAATATTTGAGTAACAAATCAGCATATTAGAATGATTTCTGAAAGATCATGTGACACTGAAGACTGGAGTGATGACTGCTGAAAATTCAGCTTTACCATCAAAAGAATAAATTGTAATAATATCATATTAATAATATTTAATAATAATATTACTCTTTTTGCTGCATTTTTGATCAAATAAATGCAGCCCTGGCGAGCAGAAAGACATTTTTAAACAATCATTCTTTTTCTTTTTTTATGTTATCGACCCCAAATTTTAAATGGTAGTGTAATTCAAACTATAAGACATCTCTGGGGGAAAATGGCTTTAATGAGTTAATCACTCTGACTATGGGCTGAACACTTTTATTTGTTGCTTGGTCAAGTCAAGTCACCTTTATTTATATAGTGCTTTTAACAATACAGATTGTGTCAAAGCAGCTTTACAGTATTACATAGGAAAATAGTGTGTAGTAATGCAAAAGGACAACAGCAAAGACTGAATTTTCAGTTTAAGTCAGTTCCTCATTGATTCAGTGATGTCATCGTCCAGCTCAGTTCAGTTCAAATAGTATATGTGCAATCTAAGTGCCATCAGTACCTCAGCAGCTCCTCTGTGAACAGTTTTGGGTTGATAACACTCAGCCACTTTGTTTCATGACTGGTCACTCCCTCTGGAAACTTTGGAGTTCTGCTGCCTCCTCCACCACAGCCTCCTTGAAAAACCCTAGAGAATAAAAATAAATATACAGAGAGAGGTGACCACATTTTGACCAATGTACTAATCTTGCCTCTTTAAGTCACAATAATCCAACAAGTTTCTTCTGACTCATCTTACCTGTGCAGCTCTGCTAGAGGTGATGTGAGGACGATCAGTACGGTCAGTAGCTGGTTACACAGGCTGTGTATGGACCACATCCAAGATCCATGGGCTGCATCAGGCCTTAGCAACTCCTCCACAGAGTCACACACACTCCACATCAGATGCTCCACGCACAGCAGAATAGCTGTAATATCAATCCTGGAGGAGGCAATGAGACCCCACATATTAGGAATAACTCGGCTGTACTGTCACACTGTACCCTAACCAACATTTTCTAGCAAGAAGTCAAATGTGTTTCTGTCTAATATGTGCTATTTGATAGAGCTACACTATATGGGCATATTTGCTTGTTGATCATTTATTTTTGGATATTAATAGGAAGATTTCATTGGCCGATTGCCTAAATAATGCTGAAACATACTGTATACTAACCCATAACATTACCCTCAATATAGAGCTGGCTGCACATTCTGATAGACAGCATTACTGTTTTTTTTGTGATCATAAATTTAGTGAATCATACCTTTTATTATAATATATTAATTCAGCACCTTCTATCTAAAATCACCCTCTAAAAACTGCATTTTTCAGGACTGGCTAATGCACATGCAGGTTCTAGAGTAAACAAACAAGTGATGCCTCTGCCAAAAAGGCAACTGACTCTTTTTTATTAAAAAGCATTGTCCATTCTGACAACCTCCATATTAAGCATTATGACTTTTCTCTTATTCATTATTTTAATTAATAGGCCATTTATGCTTCATATTGTCACTGAAACAGGCCCAATAAATACTGCTGTCATGGGTTTTGACTTACAATATGTAAAACTCAATCCAACATAGTGGAAATTTAAGTTATTTTAAAAATGTAATTTAATATTGGCTAAAGATTTAGAGTGTTTATTACATTATTTGTGTTTTTAAAGATTAATTTTATTTGAGTGTTATATGACAGCATGATGGCAAATGTGATATACAATACCGTTCAAAATCTGGGGGTTGGTAAGACTGTTGGTAATTTTTTTTTTAAGTCTCTTATGCTCACCAAAGCTGCATTTATTTGAAGAAAAAATAAATAAATAAATAAAATTGAAATAATATTACAATGTAAAAAAAAAAACTTTTTTATGTTAATTCATTTTCAAATTGCAATTTATTCATGTGATGGCAAAGCTGAATTTTTAGCAGCCATTACTTCAGTGTCACATGATCTGCCAGAAATTATTCTAATATGTTGATCTGGTGAAAGAAACATTTCTTATTATTATCAATGTTAAAAACATTTGTGGCTGCTTAATATGTTTGTGGAAACATTTATCAAATAGATGCTGTTCTCTCTATTCATCAAAGAATCCTGAAAATAAATAAATAAATAAAAAAAATATATATATATATACTGTATATATGCTGCCCACAAGGCTATCAGCACCAACATATTTCAAGATTCTTTGATGAATAGAAAGAACAGCATTTATTTGATAAACGTACAGTAGTTACTGTTACATTTGATTTTATGCAGCCTTGCTGAATAAAAGTATACATTTCTTAAAAAGAAAAAAATTACTGACCCCAAACTTATGAACTGATGTAAAAAATAAAGAAAATCAGCATGAACATATCCAATATCAACCACTATTATATCAAGCATGCATCTACTTTCAATTGCACACGTATCAGTAACTCAAACCTTAAATACATGCATGTCCAACTCAGTTCAAACCATTAAATGTGTGTACTTCTGTACAGTCTCTCAGCATCCAGAGGTCATGCTACCCACTTTGGTTTCCCTATCAAACTCAACTTTTCATCACCTACCACCAAGTTCTGCTTTATAGCACAGAGAAAGTTCCCCTTTCACCAGATAGGAGAAAAAGAGAAGGGAGCAGAGGCAAAGCCCATCTGCTTGGCAGACCCTGAGCTCAGCCGGCACCAAAGAGCTCATAACCGGGTGTCCTTGCAGCAAAGCTCATCTGCTGAAACAAAAACCGGTCCCTCCATTCATTCCTTCCCTGCGGCCCTGGGCGATCTGCTCTTTCTCATCAGTCCTGGAGTGGAGGGGAAGTGTGCTCTTGTGGCATCTTTAACCACTTTAAGTATGTGTTAATGCTACGCACAAGGCCTGGGCGGTTGGACCCGGTCTAGCATGAAAGAATCAGGCCCTCCGCCAGGCGCTGAAGCAGGGCCATGTGCTAACAAAGAGAGACTGTTTTACAAATCTGGAGATCTGCTTTGACCCCCGGCATAATCACTAAAGCATTCAACACTGTCTGCTAAGCCCGAGGTTCCTGATAGTAGGTGGGCTTGTGCTTCTCAGTGCAGCAGAAATACGGTAAGATCATTCAATCAGACAGCATGGATGACTGCTCTCTATTAGAATGTGCTTGAGTGTGACCGCTGACCACAAGATGTAGACGGGTGACTTTAACCATGCATGGCCATTTCCTGTATGACGCATCTCCACAACGTAGCAATCGAATGCACATGAATGCTACATGCTACACTAAATGGTACATGAGTAATAGAGCAGTTCAAGTTGTTGGCTATAGCCAGACTCTTACAAAATCCAGCAGGTTCAAAAACTCTTTTATACTTCTCTGGGGTTGGGAATTGTGAGGCGACTGTTATGTAGAACCATCCCTATTTAGTCAAAATTGTGGAAATGAATGATTTTCATGACATTCAGTTTCATTATCGATAATAAATAATAAGAAATAGTGTTTTATCATTAAAATTGCAATGGAGAAACACACAGAAAGAAAGAAAGAAAGAAAGAAAGAAAGAAAGAAACGCACGGTTGGTATTGTTAACAGTAGCAAAAAATAATAAAATAATAATAATAAAAAATCATATTTATAATATTACACACACACACACACACACACACACACACACACACACACACACACATATGTATAAGAACAAAACAAACTGTTTTTTAATACATAATATAGTAAATAAAATCATTGAACAAACAAAATGATAAGAAATGGTATTGTAGTAATATAATGGTGGAAGATCCCATTCCCTGCCCACACAATTTAAAAAGTAGCAACAGCACTAATGTAAAAATGTGGCAGGTTTTCAAACTATCTTCATATCTAGTACCTGATCTGGGAGAGTCTTTTGTAGGAGGGTCGTGCTCTTGAGTACCTCTGAACTAAGACCTCCAGGGTCTCACACAGCACCTGGGCCAGGGTCTGCCGGGCCTGCAGGGGGGCAACTGTGCCCCAAAGGTCACTGCGCAGGCCTGTGAGAAAATAGTGCCACATCTGGATGGAGAAAGAACACCTTTCACCCTGAAAAAAAAAAAAGATGAAGGAGACAAAAAAAGAGACAAAGAGAGACTGGTAAAGATATGATGATGATATCATGGCAAATATATACAGAATATAAGAGAAAGAAAAAGACAGAAGGTCTTTCCAGACAGTCTTCCTCTAGACCCTCATGGTCATGCCACCTGCACGCTGCACCTGGACCCCTCATTACCACAGAGAGAGAGAGAGCACATGGATACTTTGAAGTTTTAATCTGGATATTCAATCACTGCTCCACTGAACATTAACCAGACATACATGCACACTGACCAGGTCACTCCTGTTACGCAGTACATTTCAAGTCTCATCACGTGTGACTTTATATATTGGATAAAATCATAATTTTAACTCATACCTCATGATTTTAAAATGGAAATCACATTGTGAATTCTTGTGTACATTTGTGTATTTTTTCCTACTGCACAATATCACAATTAGGTGAACATAGAAGTTAGTTTTAAATTCTTTTATTATTGAAGTTTAGGCAGATGTTGCTATTTTTACCAGCAAAATAGCACATCTTTTAACATGAAAGACTGTCAATTTATTAAGAGAAGCTCCAGATGTTTCTGCAATTTCTCTTAACTATAGATCAAACAAAACAATTTTTTCTTTGAAATATCAGTTTTATAACTTTTTCCTAAATTAGGTTTTATAGGTTTTTCCTGTGTCCTTAATTTCACTTTCCATCCTGTTACTCTTTTGCAATATCCCTTTAAATAACAAAAGCCATTGACATTATCCTCCAGAAAGTGATATCATTTTTGGCCGGGGAAAAACAGCATAAACATGAGCAAGTCTAAACAACAGATTTGATGAATTATGTGATGTTTTGTGGTATTAGCTGGTTTGTTTCACTTTAAAACAGAGGTTTTATACTCCTGCAAGAGACCCTCTTCCAAAAATATAAAGGCAGCTATATTTTATGTATAAATTCCAATTAAGAAAAATATTAAGTTATTATAAAAAATACATGTTAAATATTCGGCTTTTAAACAAATGAAAATATTTCCTGGAAGTATGCACTTTGTTTATATTTTTTTGTCCAGCCATATGAGTATTATATGTGACCCTGGACCACAAAACCAGTCTTAAGTCGCTGGGGTATATTTGTAGCAATAGCCAAAAATACATTGTAAGGTCAAAATTATAGATTTTTCTTTTATGCCAAAAATCATTAGGATATTAAGTAAAGATCATGTTCCATGAAGATATTTTGTAAATTTCCTACTGTAAATATATTAAAACTTAATTTTTTATTAGTAATATGCATTGCTAAGAACTTCATTTGGACAACTTTAAATTTTCTCAGTATTTTGATTTTTTTGCACCCTCAGATTCCAGATTTTCAAATAGATGTATCTCGTCCAAATATTGTTCTATCCTAACAAACCATACATCAATGGAAAGCTTATTTATTCAGCTTTCAGATGATGTATAAATCTCAATTTCGAAAAAATTGACCCTTACGACTGGTTTTGTGGTCCAGGGTCACATATTATCCAAAATTCATTGTGTAAATAATCAAGTTTAAATTATAAACATGTTTTAATTAAAGTTTAAGTGTATTATAAGTTATTTCTGCACTTTTATTAAAACAAAGTATGACACAATACTCTTTTTTTAAAAGTTAGTGCATAACAAGAACGAGATGACTGATCTACAAGGTCAGACTTCTGTCGCTGAAATGCTTCAGAATTTTGTGATACTGTACATGCTGAACAGCTCAAACAGAGAAGCAAGAATTAGAAACAATTCAGAAAAGGCAAAAATGATAAAAAGGACGAGAGACCCTTGTTTCCTAAGAGGCTAATTACTTTCAGGCAAAGAGGAAGCAGCATTAGGAGTTCACAGTGTGACCAAAGAGAGATTATTAACAACCATGTACTACATCTCCTAATGAGAGCTGGGACGTGGTCCACCAGTGAGCCAGGGCTAAGTCAGCCATAGAAAGAGACACACAGGGCCATGACCACACGTCCGGACCCAGGGATTTAGTGCTAGTGACTGGGCCTCTGGAAGCGCTTGGCCCTTTGGCATTTGCTCAAGAGGAAGTGAAATGGAAGGGTGAATGGAAGAATGCAAAAGAGAGGTGGGGGAAGAGGGGATACAGGTCAACAGAGGAGCAGACTCGCAGAGCCAGCCGCACACCTGCACACAGCAGGCCAGTCTGCCCCACAGCCCCGCAACGGGCGGATGTGTGCGTATGTATCCGTGAGAGAGCGTATGTGTGCACGGTTATCTTAATGGAGGTAAGGTTAGGGCTACACTCTTCAACACACAGATGGTTGAGTCTAACGCTGCCTCAGGGCACCACAAGCCCCGTTGAAATGACTAGAGGAAGGGTCATTATGAGAATGATAAAGCTAGAAAATCTTTATAACTAGCAATACACCCAAGATTATTTTTCTTATTAATATCCTTATGCTATTTAATATAAATATCAATGCTTCTTATTTGGTCTGAAAATTTTGGTCTGTTTTTCATTTTAATAAACAATATTCAATTCTTTAATTTATCAGCAACTGCAGCCAAATGAATTCAAAATGCTTACAGCAAAAAGTACAAATCTGGTTTAAAATAATTATATATATATATATATATATATATATATACAGCGGGTAAAATAAGTATTGAACACGCCACCATTTTTCCCAGTAAATATATTTCTAAAGGTGCTGTTGACATGAAATTTTCACCAGATGTCGGTAACAACCCAAGTAACCCATATATACAAATTAAACAAAACAAATAAGTTCAGAAATTAAGTTATGTGTGTTGTCACGGCCAGCTCGTTCCCAACCATAACATAAAGATGATCACACATACAAACGAATATGTCAGTAGCAAAATTATTTATTTAAAAGAAAAAACGGCTGATTACAAAAACAAAGAAAAACACCAAAGTCTAGGGATTGAAGTAAATATACACGAAAACAATAATCCAATGGGGTAAAGAACATTGACAAAAGAAAAGAAAACCCAACAAAAAGAGTTGGAGCAAAAGACTTCTCTGGAGAACAACGTTCCACCAGAGGATGTGGATTGAGCAGATCAGGAAGGGACATCTTTTATACTCTCCGCCCATAACGTCTCTAATTAGCAGTGACAACACACGTTGATGCTACACTGCCCCCAGCAGGCAGAAAAGGGAAAGACAGGGTCGTCACAGTATTAAAATGGAATGACACAGGGAAAAAGTATTGAACTACTGAAATGTATTTAATACTTCGTACAAAAGGCTTTGTTGGTAATGACAGCTTCAAGACGCCTCCTGTCTGGAGAAACTAGTCGCATGCATTGCTCAGGTGTGATTTTGGCCCATTCTTCAACACAAACAGTCTTCAAATCTTGAAGGTTCTGTGGGCCTCTTCTATGAACTCTGATCTGTAGTTCTTATTTTCTATTAGATTCAAGTCAATTTATTAGCTGGGCCATTCTAGCAGCTTTATTTTCTTTTTCTGAAACCAACTGAGAGTTTCCTTGGCTGTGTTTGGGATCATTGTCTTGCAGAAATGTCCACCCTTGTTTCATCTTCATCCTGGTACTGTAGGTGTTGGGACTGAACCAGCTAATATTAATTTCCGCTGACTAGGGGCAGGATTGCTTTCTATTTACTGATAGATTTCAGCTTCCAATTTATACATGCGCACAAATTTCATAATTTACCCATTATTTGTTTATATATTATTTTATATCTAAAACATTTTAATAATACAATTTAATTAAAAATCTTCATTTAATTTAAATTTCATTAAATTCAATAATTTTTGGATGATGATGCAAACAAACAAACTGTTGAATGAAACTTGTGATTAAAAATGTTGATTAAAATAGACAGTTTAAATTAAATAAGACAAATTAATTAAGCTACAAATTCCATATCTAATGTAATTAAAAACAAATAGTTTTAGTTTTAAACAGCTTTCCCAAATAATCCTTTGTCTTCGACTGGTCAACAAAACAGATCCACAAACCAAACCAAAACAAAACCAAATTACAACATTCACAATGCCAAAATATATTGCTAAAAAACAAACAAACAAACAAAGCAAATCACAAATATATAGCGAAAAATCAATATATTGGCTTGCCTTGCCCTAATGTGTATTAAAAAATAAATAAATAAAAAAGGAAGGAAAGACAAGAGTGTTTTACATGAACACATACTGATTCTACTCAATTTGTCAGGCTGGCTGAGACTGGGATATTTGTGATTGGTTACAAATGCACGCAGCATCCTCAAGCATTTTAAATAAGTGAGATATTTTGAATGCGTTTATAAAAAATGCTCTTTAGTATGGCAGCACTGAGGCTGGATGTACACACCTGACTCCTTTTATGACAGCCTGAGAGAAGTCAACTAAATAGTCAAGGACAATGTGCAACAGCAGCGTGCAAATCCAAGAATTTAAGAGGGAGCCTACTTAAGAATACAATAACACAATTTATCATTTATTATCCAACGTCACAGCATTTCAATACAGATACACTTATGATTTGAATGTGAATATGCTGTGTGATTTAACCACAGCTTTGTCCTTGAGCACAGTATAGAGGTACAGGATGTTTTGTCTTCCAATAACCTAACCCAACCCTAAAGAAATGCCTTCAACAGGCTTACACGTAACATGAGCTATTATTGAAATACTGCTAGAAAAGCTACAGCCATCTGTACCTCGTAAAACGGGCTGGGGTCACTCCAGTAGTGGCTCTCGGCATCCTGTAGTATACTAGCGGCACACACATGGACGCAGTAGCTGGTCAGGTGATCGTGCAGGGCTGCCATCACATCCTGGCTTCTCTGAATGGGCAGCAGAGTTAGAGGCCTGAGGTTGGAGACATCAAAGACACAAGGCCTGGTTTAAGGCAAAAGAGGTGTAGTTTACAGGTCAAAGAGACACTAAGTGATTAATATCAGCAAACGGCTCCTATTATTACCTGTCAATCATTCAACACCTCCTTCTTCCTCCCCTAATATTTCCTCATTCCCTCTCTTCAAGTACAAGGCCACACAGACGGTCTGATACCTTTTTTTCTATATGTCTCTCTCTCTCTTTCTGTCGCTCATTCTTGGCTTTAACCTTACAAATACATAGGTGAATAGTTCTGTTAGAGCGCACCAGCTCACATACGTCTCACTCTGGTTCTTTACAATCCAATTACAGTATTTTAGTAAATCTGGCATCCATCTGACAGGCTGCCTGGCCGGGGAAACCTGGGCTTGACAAAGTGTACTATAAATCGGTGAACTTTAGCAATACTCACCCTCTCCAAACACTTTTCATTTTATGTACAAATGCACAGGTCAAACCCAAGCTGAGATATTTTATATACCATTTTATATTCGGTATGGATTTTTATCATCCATGGAAAGATTTGGAGTTATTTATGAAATCAGGGGTACCACACCATAGAGCAGTGTTTCCCAACCGTTTTTTAGTCGCGGCACCCTTTGGAAATTTTAACAAACTTGTGGCACCCTACAAAATTAATTTTGTCACAATATTTGAATTTCTAACTTCGATATGATAATTTGAAAAGTATAGATATTCGGTACAACAGTGAAGAACTGCAGAATATAATGTCATACAGATATTTAAAAATTTTGTCCATCAATGGTGGCAATCAGTAGGCTCATTTCTAATGAAGAGACCAATTTATATGACAGATTTTAATGTAGGATTTTATACATATGTAAACATTATTTAATTACCATTATAACTAGCTATCTCACAAATTTTTGCTCACTCAGTGTTTTTTTAATTTTACAGTGGGGTAATTTTGGTGCAGTAGCACGAGATAGCTTGATTTCAAACTTTGAAGTAAAAAAAAAAATTTTACCAATTATCCAAATAATGTTTAGTCCTAGAAAGCTATTATTATCAGAACACGTGAGCATAACATAGCGGTTAGCAGATCAATGAATGAGAGGGCAGCGTTACCAGAGTTGCCCATATAACACACCATGTTACAACACAGTAGGGCTATTGCAGACAGAAACAATACTGTACTACATCGATGTTTCCTGTCGGCTCAATTTTTGAGTGGACTTTGCTGTTCCGATGAGCATGAACGGTATACGAGTGGAGCGACTGAGCGGAGCGCACACGCATAGAGCGGGATAATACGCAGAGCGTCACACCACGTGAAAGTGAAACCTGAGCAGTGAACTAATTTTCGGCAGCCGAAATTTCGGTGCATCTCTAATTATTGGCGACATCAGAAATTGATATTATATAATAGATGCTTTTTTGAACATTTTAGCAATTTAAAAATATTAAAAAATGATTTTTTACACGGCACCCCGGTTGGGAAACACTGCCATAGAGGATCATGCTTCATTGTCATTCCTTGCACCACATCCACTACAGAAAAAAGGTGGAAATAAGGTATAGCTTTTGAATCATTGATTAATGTACTTGAGCCAAACATTAAGATCTTCATCACGTGTTTATGCATTTGAAAATGCAAATACATGCAAATAAGAAAATGTATAACATAAAATGAAAAGGAAATTGTAAGATTTCACAATAATATTTTGGCTAAAAGTTTTTTTTTCCTTCTCCTTTTTGTCATTATAATTAGAGTTTAAATTACATTATATTGCATATAAGTATATAAGCATACACTACATTAAATCTTGATTGCTTTTGGCTTTAAAAGTAAGAAATAAGACACTTTTTGCTTCCGTTTTTTTTTTGTTTTTTTTTGCAGTAATGACAATTTTGCATTCAATTTGATCTTGTTTTAAGGTCTCAGCTCTTGCTTTGGTCCCACTTTATATTAAGTGGCCATAACTACTATGTACTTACATTTAAATTAATCATTTGATACAATGCACTTATTGTGTACATACATGTTTTACATTGTATTTATATTTTAAAAAATACCTGCATGTAATTACATCTGTAATTCATTTCTGTAATTACATTTAGTAATGTGTGTACATACATAGTTACACTGTTGACCGACCCCTTACACCTTAAACCTACCCATACCACCAAACCTGTCCCTAACCTTACCCGTATCCCACCTCAATAGCAGCAAAAGTGTTTTGCAATACAATATGAACACAATAAGTACATTGTACTTATTTTTTGATGTAAGTACATAGTAGTTAAGGCAGAAGAAAGAAATTCAAACAGGTTTGGAACAAGACTAATGAGAGTAAACAATGACAGAATGTTTATTTTTGGGTGAACTATACCTTTAAGAAACTGATTTTTATGCAGTGTATTTATACTTGATCTAGCTGTAGTCTGCTGAAAACATTGTATGTTCTATAATGGACATACATGAGTTTGGTGCTTTATAGAATGAGTGTAACTCACATGCGTGTGGAGTCTCTGAGCTGGCTTTCATAGTGTGCGAGTGTCTGGTGGATGTACACACTGGTGGCCATCAGAATAGGCAGGTTCTTGAAGGGAGCTGAGGCCAGCACTTCCCCTGCCCTCTCCTCTAGTCTGGTCAGTAGGAAGGAAGTCACACGGCCACACACCTCCACGTAGCTGGAGCACACGGGCAGCAGGCTGTTCTCTCTAAATGCCACAGCCAGAGGGTGAAAAGCATCCATCTGCTCCACAACATCTGCACAGAACTGGAAATAAAGTGAATATGTGAAGTTTCTCGAATGTGTTTTTATAGATAATCAATACTTGATAATAAATGTACCCCTCACTTAGTTCATTCTTTTGTCCTTACGATATTTTACAATAATAAAAACAATTAAACATATCTAATATGCATTATTTTAGTTTATTTTATTTTACGTTACGTTACAGGCCAGTTTTTCCAGGAAATAAAATGGGGAAGAGCTAGCTTGAGAAACATCACAACATATCTAATATGCATTATTTTAGTTTATTTTATTTTACGTTACGTTACAGGCCAGTTTCTCCAGGAAATAAAATGGGGAAGAGCTAGCTTGAGAAACATCATAACATAACATACTGGAGCACATAAACAACCTGTCAGGCTTTATCTCCGATACTTATGGATATATTTTTAAAGGTAAAGAACTTCTTTGGTGCAACCATACCATTATCCACACTAGACAGGCTTCCTTACTATCATGACCATTTGGTAGAATTATTTGCAGATAGTTGTTGTAAAATAACTCTCAGGTACTCCATCCTTTCCGTCTTAAACCAACAAAAAGCATTCAACGCTATACAGTAAGAAATTCTTTATCATACAACCCTCAAACTTCCCTTTTTGAAGACCGAAATTGCATTTCAGCAGCTCACACAGCTCTACCATATGTGAACGGACTAGCATTTATTGTAACCGAATCATCCATGCCGATATGACTGTGTGAGACGTTCAGGGCCATTTTCTGATTCAAATACCTGCAGTTCCCCTCCTGTGGCGCCTGAAGAGAGAAGCAACACTTATCTCATTTTTCCACATTTGTCCTGCAGGAAACAGGGAATCGGCACTGGTATTTTCTCTTCAAAATGATTACGAAAGTGTGTGTGCCTGTTACATCTGCCTTACATTGCCTCAGGAGGCACGCAGCTTGAAAGGAAGACCCCTAAGGGTTATTGCCAAAAAGAGGCAGCCCTGGAACAGAACATACACCAAACTTCCTCCACCTATATTTCTCCTACCCTTGACAAATGAAGACATCATTGTGTATCTATCCCCATCTAGCACTTCCATTTCTCCCTTTCTCCATCCCTCCTTCCAGCCACACGTGTTCAATGCAGATTAGCAGTGACGGCAGCGAATCTGGGCATGCTGAAGAGCCAGACGCATGTGCTGGGTTCACTGTCGAATTTATATACCTATAGAAATGAGTTACGATGCCGGCCGATTCGAGAGCAGTAAAATATACGTGTGCATTGTATATATCTCCCTCCACTCCACCCTTTCCCCCTTCCACAGGGAGTTACTGTGTCCCAAGGCCTCTGCGAACATGGACAAAAAAAACCAGCACATGTTAAATGGAAACTTTCCCAATAGCATGTCTATCAATCAAGCACGAACAGGCAAGAGAGAGGTGACTTCATGCTTCTCCACTAAATTTCAGCATCTGCATTACACAGTCTGCAGTTTCACTATGTTCAGGCACAATAGATGCAGCACAGCAGGGTTCTCATGATAGTAAAATTTCACTGTTCAAAATACAAGCTTCAATACCACAGAAAAAACACCCTCCTTTATCTAAAAAGTTAATTATAATAAATTATATTTGTAAAATAAAATTATTATGGTTTATGATATTAACTAGATAGATATTAACTCGTTTTTTTTTTCCATGTAGTTAGTAAGTTTTAGTAACTATTATAAAAATACAATATTAAACTAACTAAATGTTAAATTAACACGTTTTACAAAATACTGCTGGAATTTATAAATTACGTTTTTATAATTATAATATAATATAAAATAAAATTATTACAGTTTCTTGTTATACTAACCATAATATTATATTTATTATTAATCAATTTAATGAACGTAATCATTTTAATAAGCTGTAACTATAAATTAAAAATTAAACAATGGCATGCTCCATGTATTTATCAATTAAGTAATTACAATATCTGAGGTAATTAAATAAAAAGTGAGTAAAAAACGAATTATCATTAAATTATAATTATGACACAAAATTATTATAAATGTAAGTATAATTAATAAATATTATCAAACTAAATTAAAACAATGACGTGTCAAGTATTTATCAAGTAAATATTGCTTCAAGTTACAACAATTACAAGTACAATTTAAAAAAAACTGGAATAACAGTAAAACTTAAATAAAAAGCACTGAGGGGTTTTCTTTTTTTCTAATATTGTTTTATTAATATTAACATCATAATAGTCAGTGGCAGGTCTAAGGACTAAGACAAATATTTTCTAGTGCTGGGCAATGATTAATCGTGATTAATCACATCCAAAATAAAAGGTTTTGTGAACATAATATATGTGTGTACGGTGTATATTTATTATGTATATATAAAGACACACACATACAGTATATATTTAGAAAATATTTACATGTATTTAAATGTATATATTTATATTCATATCATTTATTTTATATCTAAATATATTTAATATATAAACATAACATATTTTTCTTAAATATATACATGCATGCGTGTGTATTTATATATACATAATAAATATACACAGTACACACACATATATTATGTACACAAAAACTTTTATTTTGGATGCGATTAATTGCGATTAATCTTTGCCCAGCGCTAATATTTTCACATCTGATTTCCCCTGTATGTTCACATCACTTAAGTCCAAACAGTGTTTAAATTCATATCCCATAAAGATTTGGTACTCTGTATTTATACTAATACAATAACTGGTAACATTTTTTTTTACCAGTGCTGCTTTTGACATCCCAAAAGCATCCTGAGAGACCTTGCCAAACCGGAAGCCCCTACAGGCTTAACAGGTCTTGAAACAAACGGCCGACTGGACAGCGAGTCGATAACAGGCTGAGTGTTGTTGTTATAAGCTTAGCGGGAAGTGTGAGAGAGATGTGGGCGAGAATGCAAAGATTCACCCCAATCCAAGGTGATGAGGACCCGAGAGGTGTCGGTGAGATTTATGGCTTTCTAAAGCCTGCTGCCCCGGTTCGGAGAACGCTTAACTAGAGCAGATCAAAGATATGGATTCCAATAGGACAGCCACCGCAAGGTTATTTCTCAGCAAAGCTTTAAAACATTTAAGAGCTCAACTCTGCAGCAGTCTTCTTACACCTTTGAACAGTGCTAAATCCTTCTCCTCACACAGGGTTAAGGACGATCGTCAACACGAGGTGGTCAATAGCTGGATGGTGGTTTCAGGTTGATAAATGATTCACTGAAATATTATGCAGACGGGAGGTCTGGCGACTCGGAGAGTTCGAAACAAAGCATGAATGTATGAATATGAATGGCTGAAATATTGATCTCTGTAATGCATCTGGACTGACTACGTTCTGGCTAAGTAAGGCCTGGGCTAGCATAACGCTGCCTACTTATGGGCCATGGTGACATGTGTCAAAAAGAAGGGGTTTTGAGACACTCAGAGCAGCAGAGAATGCAAATAAATGCACATGCTAACCTTTGAGATGAGGGCTGCTCATTCTGAAGCACTGACCTACACGTAAATGTGTTGTACAGGTCTTGAGTGTGAACAAATTTTGACACTTCTTAGTGATGTGGTTCCTGGGGTGTCAGCAGCATGTAGCGGCATCAATGAAATGGTATGGAAATCAGATATGAACACAGACGTTCTAAATTTCATGAGCAGGGGCCATGTTGCTCAAAAGTGTATTTTTTGTTGTGGACAAAGGTTTAAAACAGGTTTGCAGGCAGAGGTCAATACTAAACAATGTGTGAAAAAGTAGCAATATGAAAACCCTCAAAAAGCATTTCCTGTATAAATACACTACTGTTTAAAAGTTTGGAGTTGGTAAGATTTTTTAAGGTGTTTGAAGTCTCCTCTGATCAATTTAAAAATAACAAAAAATTTCTTATTATTATCATCAATGTTGAAAACAGTTGTTGCTTAATATTTTCCTGAAAACCTTGATACATTTCGTTCCAGGATTCTTTGATGAATAGAAGGTTCAGAAGAACTGCATTTATTTGAAGTAGAAATCTTTTGCAACAAGTTTTAGTCTTAGTAATTTACTCTATTTTTTTTTTTGATCAATTTAATGCATCCTTGCTAAATAACAGTAATAATTAAAGGGGTCATGAACTGAGAAATAAAAATTCCCTTAATCTTTCAATATATAAGAGGTCATTGTTCTATAAAAACAATCTTTAAATTTGAGAACTCAAAACTTTCTCGTTAGTCTAAAAACAGCTTATATTGAAGCCAATCTGCCAAAACGACAGGTTGTGGAATGTGCCACTTTATGACATAATAGTTTGGCAAAACCCCGCCTCCGCAAAAGATCATCATTGCCTGTTTAGCCCCGCCCACCGATTTACGCAAGTAGTGTAAATAACGAGAGAGGAAAACACAGGTCTATGCAGAAACCAAACAATAAAGATGGCTCTGAAGACAACAAGATGCTGTACAGTGCCAGACGTAGTAGTGTGGCTAAACTTCGCTTCCGCCTCCTCAGAAGAAAATCAACGCCTGCTTCTACATTGCTGCCTGTTTAGCCCCGCCCACCAATTTGTGTAAAGTAGTGTAAATAACGAGAGAGGCAAACACAGGTCTATGTCAGTAAGAACTCAAGCCTTTGTTCACTTTATTTTACAGCGGATTTGTTTACAAACAAGGCACAATTCAACACAGGATTTTCAGACAGATTGAAACTAAAAGAATGCTGTGCCAACTATATTGGATCCGACAGTAATGTCGCGACACACAAATGTGAGTAACTGTTGTTTTTATGTGGTCACTATTGTTTTGTCTGTAAAGTAGATCGTTTGATATGAGTATTTACCGTATTGGCCCGAATATAAGACGACCCTGATTATAAGACGGACCCCCCTTTTTCCAGATGTACCTTTTGGAAAAAGCCTTTTTAAAAACCAAATCTTGTTTTTTCTCAGTAAAAGACATTTTGTCTTCAATTATGTTCATATTGCATATTTTTCCTATTTTAATTTTTGTTTTGAAAGTATGGTAAAAACTGGTCAAATGTACCAACAATCACATTTAAAAAATATACACTTTTTGATATACCATAAAAAAAAAAAAACAGGTAGCCCATCTGAATTAGGACATTTAGGCTATCCATCTAATAGTAGCCTACCAAAATCTTATTAACAGTAGAAGTTAAATCTTACTGTACTCTTCAAATCTGGTCTTTAGTCTTACGTTTTAAAATCACAAAGGGAGTTTGGTCCCATCAGGCTAACGTGACAGTCAGGACTCGTGCAGCTGTAAGGTTTTCTTTTTCTTTAGTTTTTTCTCGCGATCTTTACAACACACACATTACATTACGTATTTCATGGCACACTCGTTTTATGCGTATTTGGCGCCACCTATTGTCGTGGGTGTATTATTGACATGTCAAAGTCTAGACCCTGAATATAAGACGACCGCGTTTTTTCAGATGTATTTCCAAGAAAAAAACATCGTCTTATATTCGGGTCAATACGGTATGTGTTTTAACCTAAATCACAGCAGCGTCCATCTGTGAAGGACATCAGGCTGTCAAACATACACAACTTTTAGCCAATCATAGCAGTGGGCGTTTACTTCCGAGTCTACAATCCGCCACACCTATTCAAAGGAGCGTTCCAATGAGGAGGGTGAAAACAGGACAGAAAATAGCCTATGATGGGGGTTTTTTTATATAAAAATCTTGATAACATTATAAGTGGACCTCAGAGAACAGTACAAAATAATAAAAAAAGGCAATTAAAAAAAAGGCAGCTCATGACCCCTTTCCTTCCAAACCTTCCAACGGTAGTGTACAATATGAAATGAAAATTAAAGTGTGTGTGTGTGTGTGTGTGTGTGTGTGTGTGTGTGTGTGTGTGTGTGAACACTGCAAACTTTGCTTAAGTTTCATTCAGAAATATTACCTACAAAACTTTTGTCTATTGTGGACATCTATGTTTTTAACAAGAAAAAAGGGCTGGTGCAGGAGGCATGCAGGGGCTGAAACACCTGCATCCTATCCCAGCTCAGAGGCTGTCCTTTGGGGCTGTGATGGCTCATCAATCTGCCTGAGCTGCAGTGAGCGGAGCTTGTCTCAGACGGGGACCTCCATGATGAGGGATAAAATGAGGCAAAACACTGGGCCGTAGAGCAAACCCACAGGACCAGAGAGGATCCTGGAGCCACGGTGCCTGCTCAGGACGAGCAGACATGTCATGTCACTGTGAACACATGTCTTTCAAAAGAGAAAGAAATATTTTCAAATGCATCACAAATACCTTCCTCTACAACTCTGTTCCAAAACCTAGTGAGCTGCCTTGAATTGACTTCATTCCTGAGAAGATGCATCCTAATCCATAAGATACTTACTGAAAGGTTTGCAGTACTCAGACAGAGTACAAGAAACATGAAACAATTTATTTCGACAGAGTGTGACAATAGCATGTTTCTAAGCTTAAAGGAGTGGTTGATTGCAATTTCACTTTTTTAACGTTAGTTAGTGTGTAATGTTGCTGTTTGATCATAAACAATATCTGCAAAGTTACGACGTTGAAAGTTCAACGTCTTATATTCGGGTCAATACGGTATGTGTTTTAACCTAAATCACAGCAGCGTCCATCTGTGAAGGACATCAGGCTGTCAAACATACACAACTTTTAGCCAATCATAGCAGTGGGCGTTAATTCCAAGTCTAAAATCCGCCACACCTAATGCCTACAAAAACGGCTCGTAGGGACTACAACAGGTTACTTCCCGGGTTCGTGACGTCACAAACCCAGATAAAACCCGCCCCTGGGAACATGCAACAAAGGGGGCGAGGCCATGTTGCGCTGCTTTAGAGAAGAGGAAGAGTTGTTGCCATGCCGTTAAAACTAGGGGTGCACGAAAACATCTATTTATATATGAATCACGATTCTGTCTTCTAACGATTCTAATGGCTTCACAAGTTTCAAAATCAATGTTCTAAAGCAGCAGTTCTTAATACTGATCCTCGTGTCCCCCTGCTCTGCATTTCTCTCTCTCTCTCATTCTGATCATCAGCTGGTCAGCTCCAGTAAACTGTGTTCCAATTATACATTTTATGTGTATAGACAAGACAGATATTTTTCACATAGCTATGAGAAGTGTTAAACATGGACGAGCACGCGGTTGCCGTGCTGTATTACATCTTTAACCAGGATAAAACCGTATATTAAAAGCTAACATAAGCAGTAGCATTTACAAATAACAGCGTATCTAAAAGAATGAGACAGCAACAAACAAAAAACATACCATTAAGAGCCGTGCTTGCACAGGTTCTGCGCGATCCTCTTCACTAATACCCTCTGCGTCTCAATCGGGCTTAAATTGATAAGCAATATTGACGACGTCATTGTTTACAATACAACCGGAGCACATGCCGCTGAGGTGAAGGGCGGGACGTTTAGGCGCGAATCTAGCGAATCACAACACACTAGGCCAGCAAACCAAGCCCATTGTGTATTTCTGAGGGAGGGGCTTCATAAAATCAGGAACTGATCGGAGCGTTCAAAGGAGAAGGGAAAGAGCGGTGTAGAA